ACAAATGAAGGTGTAGAACATGCTCAAGGATGGTTAGAAGAAATGGACAGCACCTGAGTTAAGTATATGAGTGTCACAGCAAAGTGTCTGAATACTTAGGACCATGTGATATTTCCGTTTTTCTTTTTTAATAAATCTGCAAAAATGTCAACAATTCTGTGTTTTTCTGTCAATATGGGGTGCTGTGTGTACATTAATGAGGAAAAAAAATTAACTTAAATGATTTTAGCAAATGGCTGCAATATAACAAAGAGTGAAAAATTTAAGGGGGTCTGAATACTTTCCGTACCCACTGTATATATATGCGCACATATTTGCATACATATTTTACATTTTATTTTTTAGATTTTAATAAATATATGTAAGCACATTATATGCACATATATTTTATAATCTATAAATGTAAGTGTATAAATATATATATTTTTATAAATATATATGCACATATGTGCATATACATATATATGCATATAATATTTAAATAATAGTCACAGCGTAAAACATCTAGATCGGCCTAAAACAGGCATAATTTTCTTAATGCAAAATATGATTTCTTATTTCTTTCTGTTGATTTTGGATTAATTTAGAGGTTTCATGAGATTCACCCATGAATGGTGTGATGAACTCTCAGCGTAACCATCCAATCATTCCTCAAGCGCAGCAGCAGCTCCGCGTCGGTCAGATGCGTGTCTGTATGATGTCTTTCATCCACACTGACGCTTGATGTTTTCGTCTCACATTTTTGCCCTCCGTAGCAGGAAGGCGTCTCTCTCAGGAAGTACTGTGATGTTTTTAAGTGAACTCTCATTATTGTTAAGATGATATAAATGCATAATCAGTGGTGAAGTACCTCAGACTCTGCTGTGGAGATTTACACTACATACCTCATGCTGCCGTGACGACGGGAGACGAAACGTTCCCGTTCCTGCGCAGATTCCGGAATGCTGGACGTGAATCCCTCGAGCTGGACTCTCCTTTCTCTGTGTGTCTTTTTCTCGTGGCGAAACCAAACGTGAACTGTTGCATTTGTACAATCAGGTGGCCAAACCTGCTCACCGTAAACCAAACCGAACTGCCTTCTTCAGCTGCTGCACAGCTAGAAACCAAAGACCGGATGACCTCCGCCTCACAGGTCAAAGGTCACGTCTGTATGATTGTGATGTAATAGGTCAGGTGACCAGGGAAACACACTTACACTCATTTCTCTCCGGTCAGATGTTTCTGTCTGGTCCGGATGAGGTTTGAAGGCCATATCGATGTGCTTTCTATCTGTTCTCAGGACTTCGATTCGTCTCTGTTCCAGCTCTGTTTCTTCATGTTTGCTGCACTCTTCTTCTGTCTGAACTGGATTAAACACCTTGTGCAGATTCTTGGTCCTAGTTTTATATTTTTCTGTTTTTGTGACTGTGTCTAATGCTTTAAAATGCTACAGGTTTTACTGTGCTGCATAAATGTTTTCCAGCATCCAGAAACAATGCCATACGTTCCCACTGATGCAACTGACGGAATAATACAATCAAAACGGTAATTGTGACTTTTTGCCTCACAATTCGGACTTTTTTCTTGCAATTCTGCGTTTATATCTCACAAATCTGACTTTTTTTTCTTGCAACTGTTTAACTTTTTTCTTGCAGTTAATTTGATCTCAGTGGCAGAAAAACAAACAAGCGAAATATCAGACTTCCGACAAACAAAAAAAGTCATTTTTGCGAGATTCTGTGGCGGAAATAAGCTTCCATACAGATCAGTGGTCCGTCGGTACAGGTTTTTAAACATTTGATTTCTTCAGCCCTGAATACATGGTGAGTTTTGGGGGTTAAAGAAGAAACTGTGTGTGTTTGGCAGGAATAATGTTCCCAAGTAAAAGTCCAGGAACGCGTTCTACAGGCAGCGTCCAGGTCACGTGACGCCTGTATTTATTTAGTTGATTTAGAATTTCAAGACATAAAAAGTATTAGTCACATTGATTAAAAACAGAACAAAATATACATTAAATATAAATTAGGATTCATGTAAATATACATTAGGATTCATGGTACGCCGCGTAACAACGGCCTAAATAGCGTCGCGGGGTCACGTGATGTCAAGGCAGATTTTCCGCGTTGCGTTCATTTAGCTGCTTATGTTAGCCGTGATAAACACATTTTATGATATTACGGTGCGTCCGAAATCACTGTACTGTCTGAGTAGGTACTACATTTGAATCACGACCGTTCTGTAAGAATAATAAGAATATGAGTAGTATGAATGAAATTCGGACGTACTACATCCGGGTACTACATCGCTACGGACGTAGCTCATCCGGGTACTTTTCGCCAACTGTTTTTCGAATACTCGGACTGTTTTGAAAGAGTTTGACGCCACAGAATGAGCTTCAAATAGGTAGGACTATAACCTTAGTATATTTTCATAAAGAGTGGGTATGTTCTGAGACTTCGATGTAGAATGACCAAAATATCGAAGCAGAAATACTGCAAACATCAGTCGAGTTTTTGACACACAGTTTGGTAAATTGTCTGTAATAATTATCGCTGTGATTTCGCGCGCCAAAA